TTAAAAAAACAAAATTGCATGAATATCAATTTACCCATTAAATTATATTATTGTTACAAAAATATTTTTTTAGAAACTGTATCTCTTAAGAGCATACATTTTATTCAAGTTTTAAAATAGACACTATTTTCAAATTCGGCAATCATGCCACTATTGTAATATAATTTGTCAACAAAAAAGTGTATTATGATACAAACTGTATTTTAAGCAAGAATACAGTATTAGTATATAGATTACAGCAATATGTGTGTTTACAGTTTGAAATTTAATTGAGATTTGGTATTGATTTGAAGCTAATAAATATGGAAAGCCTTATTTAAAATCATTATTTGAAAGTTTTAAAATTTATAGTTATCCTGTGTTGTTTTGCTTTATTTTAACTTTTGGTTCTAGTTTAGGTGGCATGTATGTAAATTTGCAGATAGTGTGGCATATCACTGAGCCTCAAAGGGTATTTACACAAACATAGAAAATGAAAATTATTGTCTTCATACTTACGGAGCTAATAAAATACTTTTTGTTGATTTTGAAGATCAGATTGTCTTACTTAGCTCTCATTATTAACTAGAATATAATAGAATTTAGCCCTCAAAAGATTTAGGTAGTCACATATTTGTAATCTGGACAACAATACAAATATTAGAGATACAATGTTCTGTTACTAAGTTGCACTCACCAAACTCAGCTAATCACCAGGTACTAAACATGTTTCAAGAAACTTAGAACTCACAATATATTTTTTTAGCTGGTAGCTTTTTGGATGAGTTGCAATGTCTTCTCAGTTAAAAGGCTTATACATTCACACAGAGTATTTTGTAGATTGAAATTTAAGAACTGTAAGTCATTTAAATATTGGTGTCAAGGGAAAAATCTCAAAATATCTTTTAGAAAAATTATACTACAAAACTTTTTGCTTAAAATCTATCTAGCATTTACTTTATAGATACATAACTACTGATAATGTAACAGCTAACTACAATAATAAAAGTTTTGAAGTATTCTGACATTGTTTTTTAATTAAAAATGTTTATTGCCAAAATAAATTTACTTTCAAATAGTCAGTCAAACATGTAGATAACACTACTCTCTAACATTGTAAGATCATCATTCTGTCATTCCTATGGTATCATGATAGCTAAAACTGTACATTACTAAAAAGTTGGTGAAAAATTGTGATAGTCTTACACTGTCTTCTGTATTCTTAGGCCTTCTCCTATGTCCTACATAAAAACACAAAATATTCCTCAATATATTCAGCACCTCCACCTACACACACAAAAGTCTATTTTTATATTTGAAAATTTACCATTACTGATGTGCAATATAAGAAAAAAAATGATTATATGGTTTATGGAATTTTCTATCCATCGAAATGCTATTTCATCATTGCTCTCCTTTACCTGGACATTCATTGACAGATCTGTGCTGGTTCTAGATTGGCCCTGTTGTGACAACAAGAACCACATCATCCTAAAACAAGCAGTGGACTTGGGGGAAAATCCTGGCTCCAGAACATGATTATCTCTTTGAAAATGACCTTGGTCAGAATCATCTAATATATATATATGTGTGTGTATATATATATACACACATATATATATAGTTTTTGTATTTACATAGAGGCTGTCATGATCCTCAGCAGATCTCTAATCATGAATATCACCACTCCCTGGAGTTCTATTCAAGCAAAAATACAAGAACACAATTTACAGACACAAAGAATAAAATCAGTAAAATCTTTGTAAAACGCAGTTTCCATCCAACTCCTTACCTGAGAGTCAGTAGTAAACCATCAACCAAGATGATGTTTCTTACACCTACTAATGAATATCACAGTATAAACGTGAGTGTTCATAGACATTATACAAATCTCAATGGGAAACCTAAAATCTTCCATCTATAAGTCATTAAACTGTGTTCATAGAATGTGAGTACTTATGTAGACTTAACTAAAGTAAAAATAGTAGTAACAAAGGGAATTTTCATAAGTTTTCTACCACTCCCCCCCCAAAGAGCCCTAAGTGTTACTGTCAAACAATAGTCTAAGCTATATCTATATCCTTTTCTCAGGTAGAAATTCTGTCCCTTTTGTAAAGCAAACCAAATTTTAGAAAAAGGTTGCATAGCCATCTTGTATTTGGACATTAAATGAAAAAATGCAATAATTTTAATTCCTTAAAATCACCTGGATCTAGTATGAAAAACACACAATCATTTCGTACTTCTTTAATACTGTCTATGAATACTGACAGGGCAAAAACAATAACCGGCTAGTAGTGATATAATTTAAAATTCTATTTTCTGAGGAAAACAGGTTGTCTATAATAAAACAACTACAGCAATTTCAATTGAATAAAGTTTTGGGTTCTCCCTACCCCCTTATCTAAAAAGGCCTAATCTAGTTAAATACAAAACAAAACAAAAAAAACACCACACACACACACACACACACACACGCACACATGCACACGTGCGCGCGCGCGCACACACACACACACACACACAGAATTGTTGTTGTCTTTTTTTTTTCTTTTTCAATTTAAATAGGAACCAGCTCAGTCAGACTGACACCTAATGGAAACTTTTATACGAAAATAATTCTGCAAAGGAAAGAAAGCAATGAGATAAATATTTAAACCACCTGAACCAAGAAAATCAAATACTTTTTGTTGACCATTTAGATTTCATCACTCGGATTTACAATTATTCCACTCTAACAATTATTATTCATTTATGAAGCAATTGCAATCATAAACTAAAGTACCAACGTCCAAGAACTGAATAAAATAGTTTATTTTAAAAAGTTCTTCCTCAAATCTCTCAACGAATGCCAGAGTATTACTTTTCATTTCTGGCAAACTCTATCACTAGGCCCCCAGCTCCCTTTCTACCTTTCAAATCTTACATACTTATTTAGTCAACCAGCAGCATGAGGCCAACTTTCCAAAGATCACCTAGTTACTAGATTATGTAGCTCTCTCTACTTTCCTACTTTCCCAATAAAACAATGCCACCAGCAGACATACTGAATTTTGTTAAATACATAACAAGCCCTTAATCGCCAACTGGTGGATCCCTAGAGAAAGAGGGTAATTCAAGGAACAATGAAGTAAAGAACAGTAGTTACATATTCTCTTGCTAGTTGTAGAATGTCGAGTGCAGAGGTATCATTTGTGCTTTTCTCTTCTACTTCAACTCATTCTTAAAAGGGACTCGCCCTGGGAGCTTCTCGGAAGGTCCCCACGCATTTTCCTTGCAAACAACCCTCCCTGAGAGCAAAAACTGTGAGTGTAGACACACTGAGAGTAACTGAGGGATCAGACCCGGTGTAGTGGAAATAGGGACAGGAGAGGAGTGGCGTAGTGCACCCCTCACTAGGAATCCAAAGTACTGGAAGAAAAGCAAAGCTCTAGATGGGAAAGCATGAGAGCGCGCCTGCCTCCTTCGAGGCACCTCGCTCTCCAGGGCTCAGAGCTGCCCCTGTGGAGCAAGATCTCAGTGCGGGTAGTACAAGCACTTCGCTCCCGGGAAAGGCGTCCTCCAAAGAGAAGAGGTGTCTGGGGCATAACTCAGCTTAGAGCTGGTCTGGGAACGCTGCGAGGGAGAACGTCGCAGGCTTCCCATTTTGTTGTTTTTGTGTGTTTGTTTTCTCCCGCAGCTTCCACTTCTCAGGAATTCAGTCTTCGCAGCCTGTGCACAACCAAGGCTCCACGCAGGGAGGGAACCTGGTTTTAGAGTCCCAGCAGGTTCTTGCTGACCCTACTGGAACCTTCTGGTCGTCTGTGCATTCTTGTCCCCAGCATTTTCTCCTCCCACCTTTGAAGCGCCACTACCGGGCGGGCCCTGGCGCCTTGCAAGAGGAAAAGGAGAGTTGCAGAGCTGCGTGGTCCGCCGCCGGCAAGAGCTGAGCGCTCCAGCCTTCTTGACCTTCCTCCTCTTTTATGGTGGATCATCTCTCCAAGCTCCATCTTGGACATATCAACTCCTGCTACATCCGGCTGTCCACAGGAGTGTCTGGGTGTGCTGGAGGGGATCGTGGGTGGTTGCTTGTTCTTCACTAGGAGGGGACAAATCCGTATGGTTTTATCGTCCATTAATATTTGAAACAAACAAAACTGCAAGTAGAAAAAGGGAAAGGCTCGCTCTTCCTCTCGTCCCTTCGCAGCAGATCTGAGAGGGGGAACATGCCTTGGGTTTGTTGGTGTTTGAGACTCGTCCTAAAAGCAGAGGCAGGGAAGACAGCGCTGAAGAGGTGTCCTAAAGAAACTGGACGACTGAACAGTCACTGCCTGCCCCAACCACTTTCAGGAAGGTTCCAGTTCTGTGTCACACCGCAACCAATCCGGTTTCCATTCTGTTTCTCCACCCCTTCGCGGAGAATCCGAAAAGAAAGTATGGGTCCCTGAGGAGACCCGCCACACACTACCAATCTCGAAGTTCCGCGGGGACCCAGGCCCCTGTCCCCCGCCCCCTTCCCAGCCCCGGCCGCCACGTCTAGCTGCGCAAGTGGCACCGCCGGGGGGTGGGGCTCCGGCACCGCCCCGGGCCGGGATTCGCGAAGTCACGAGCTTCCGCAGCTTGCGGGGGCACCTTCGCCCACGGACACGCCCTTTCTGCGGAGGCAGCCCCTAACGACCCTCTGCCGAGCTCCTGCTCCTCACTCGCGACGCTGCCAAACTGCTCAAGGCCTTTCAGTCATTCTCAACTTTAGAGACTCGCTCAGTCCCCGTCTCTCCCCCAAGCCACACCCCGGCGAAGAGAGGAGGCGAGCAAGCCAGGGACGCCGAAACTCCGCGCAGGCTCCGCTGAGCAGACCCCCATCCTTTCCCCGCCCCTCCCCTCCTCCTCGACCCCCGCGCCCTGGCGCGGACCCATTCTACAGCCCCAGTCACCAGAGGCAGGGCGCGCAGAGCCTTTCTGGTGGGGTGTGCCTTCTAATCAAGGAACACGCGACCCAGAGCGAAAACAACGAGGAAAGGAAAAGATCAAAAAAGTGCTACCTTGGCAACCACAGGCGTTTAGAGGCCAGCTGGTGGGCTGGAAGGGGCGGCCGCTGCCCGCCTGCCGCTGGTACTCTCCTCGACTACGCGTATTCTTAAGCAATAACAACGTAATCCGTATTATCCACCCAAGAATACCCGTCACCGAAGAGAGTCAGAGGACCAAGCTGCTGCTGCCGCTGCTACTGCTGCCGCTGCTACTGCCGCCGCCGCCACCAGAACTCTTGCTGCTGAGCCCGCCCCTGGCTGGGGCTGGGCTGAGCTTGACCGGGACCATAAATCCATAACTCGATTTCCCTAAAGAAGGATCCAAAGCTGTGCTCTGCTGCTTCCTGCCCAAATCCAAATGGCTGCTTTATTTCCAGTTCTGAAAGACAAATCACAAAACCAAGCACTTAACACAGAAGGAGAAGAATGCTCTCTTCCCAGTGAGGAAGGAGGATGTGGGAAGGCTCTTTGGGCACAGGGTGGGCGTGACAAGTAACCTTTAGTTTACCTGGTGCTCTCTCAGTGCCTTCCTCTGTACTTGTTCTGCTTGGTACCCGCTCTGGTCTCGGCCAGCCCACTCTAGGTGCTCTGATTGAGTGTCATGGCAGCGAGAGAGCCCTGTAAGAGACATGCATAGTTAAGCACACAAATATTACAAATGTATTTGCCTAGACGGCTTTAAGAAGAAGTGAGGCTCAAATAAAGATAGGGTCATGCATGGGTGAAATTTTCAGCAGTGTGTTTTGGAAATGCATTTTCTCAAGCCCAAGATCACAGAAAATAAACACTCATTCAATTTACTACTTGAAATCAAATACTTATAGATCTACAAAAATAGGCATCTCTCCCTTGAAGGCCTTACAGCTATCCAACATAATGATTTTTAAAGAAAAAAAAAAGCTTCAAAGCACAAAATAATTAAACTCATTTTCCATAGTATCAGAACTCACTGAGTTGACAAGCTGGTAGAGTTTATATGATTTAGGTAGGCATCGTTTTGTAGTACCACAATGTGTAATTCCATAGCCCACCTTTTTAATATACAATATAAATGCATTGCTGTGCAGTTGTTGTGAACACCTCTATAGGAAAGCCTTTGAAGCTCTGTCTTCATAAAAATTGTTTTAAGGGGAAAAAAAAAACAAAATAAAAACTCATTTGTAAAGTGACTGTAATTTTGGCTTTCAGAGAGAGATTCTTTGATGATCAATATGGCTCTTACTGGAAAAGCTTTGTCTTAAGATCCTGCAGTGAATATTCTGATAATAAGGGTTTATTGTTCACTAAATAAAATGAACAAGTGCAACGTCACTACCCAAGACATGTTGTAGCTCCATTAGAAAGTTCTCTATTTGCTTTTTCCATTACTCTCAAATATATATAAGTACATCCATGTGAGTGAAATAGGGAGGGGATATGGAAACATGGCAATAGACATTATGAATCCTTAAATTATGTAAGTGCAAATAGCTCTTCATCAAGGAGTAATTATATAACAGAATCTCTCCCACTACCACAACTCATATCTAACTGACCTGGTTGCAATTTAAGGCACTTAGTTCATGCTTGCTCTTATATTTTTTTTCTTTAAATATATTACTTCTCCAGACACACCAACTCATCATTTTCCTAACACATTACAAATAGAAAAATCAACATGAATTCTAGGTTTTATGATCAGTTGTTTTATATATAATACCTGATGCTTAAAATAACTCAAAAGAAAAGCAGCATTGCCCAGTTAATAGCCTATTTTATGGTATTTTCAGATGACTCTTAAGTACACCTTTCACAAAAAGACAGATGCCAATTAAACAAATAAATAAGCACTATTTTCTGTCATTATCTAACATAGCTATAAAGTGGAGCTTTTCTCTGGGGGTGCTACAACCAAACACACACACACACACACACACAGAGAGAGAGAGAGAGAGAGAGAGAGAGAGAAAGCTGACAGGTTCTCTTCAGCTTGAACTCCTAGAAACAAAAGCCCTTAGGGAAAGTAATGCAATAGTCTATGAGCAAAGTGTACATTTGCTCCTGAACTCTTCCATTTAAATCTCAACTAACGTTAAAAGGAAAACAAGAAACATATTATCCAGATAGATTTTGATTTACTAAATGGAGCATTCCTTTTGAATTAAAAAGGATTACTAAAACATATATACACCACACACACACACACACACACACACACACACACATATACATAATACATACATACACAGCAATACATGGCATACCATAATCACAGCATAAATACCCACACAGATTTTCAGTGCTTCCTGAGTAATCTCCTTTAGTTTTGCTTCCTTATAATTGAAATAAAATACATGCACACACTGACCCACAGACTCACACGTTTTAAGAAACTAGAACAACGTAGTTGATACGTTTTCTTTTTATCCAAGTAACCAGTGCCAGCCCTTTCTCTACCTACCCAAGTGTTTCACCAGCTTCAGCACCTGGACGAGTGGACAGCTCAGCCCGGGCCGACTGCCGGCAGCACTCGCAGCAGAACTGACGCTCTGAGCTCTAACCAAAGCTCTCTCGTGCTTCAGCGGGGCAGCCTGACTTACGAGAACACCATTTCCTACGAGACCACTGCCGCTGGGTGCATATTCAATTCAAACCTCCTTAAGCTGTCGGATTTCCCCCACCCATCCACCCTCCTCCCTTCTCCACCCTCCACACAAAAACAGAAAAGGGAAAAAGCCCAATACCATCAGGGCGTTTGTTGATCAACTTACACTTTGCTTTTGAATATTTAGATACCGCTAGCGGAGCAATAGCAACGGGGGCTTAGGTCCGCATTAAGTACCTTTGTTCATCGACTCCTGCAAGCCATGTTTATTAGAATCTACATTTCTCTAGCTCCCCAATAACCAGAGGTGTGTTTTGCGGGCAGGGGTTTTTAGCACCTTTTGATCTCCCAAGGCCACCGCGACTGACTGCCAGTCCCCACTACTTTCCCACCCTGTCCCCCACACTCCAACACCCATCCCAGTTAAATGCTTGGTAATTTGCAACCAAATATACATAAAGAAACGCGACAAAGCAATCGGTTTGAGGAAATAAGCCAATTAAGCCAAAGCAGAAATGCTTCTCTCTCTCTCCCCCTCCCCCTTGCCTCCCTCCCTCTTCCTCTCTCCTTCCCTCTCAAGTAGAAAGGGGGAAACACCAAGGAGAGGGAAAAAATCGGGAGGAGGATGGTAGTCGACTCTTACAATCAATGGAAAAACACTATACACATCCTTACTGAATAATACTCTCCTTCTCAGACAAAAAGAAACACATTTATCGATGTAAACATAGTCTCCCTCTTTCACACATCCTACATCCTTTACATTTGCTGAGATTTGTCTTGCGGTATAGCAAAGTAACTGTCACAAATCCATCTCGATTGAAGTGCTTACCCTCTAAATCCAGGTTTCAAGCGGGACTCCAACCGTGTGTAGAAGCCAGAGTCATCTGATGAGCGGTGAGGTAGGCTCCGGGCAGTGGGAGCTGCTTCCCTCCGAGTGCCGGGTTACAGTGTTAACAAGCCCTGGGAAGGGACCTCGGTGCCTCGCGCTGGCTGTGCCCCAGTGCCTTCGCGTGGTGGCGGCTTGCTCACGCTTCCAAGGAGTCCCAGGCGATAGCCTTCAGCTGATGCGAGCTTCCAGAAAGGAGTGGGGAAGGGGAAAAAAAAAAATCATCTAATGCAATCAAATCGATCTGATCTACACCATCTGTCGCCTGCCACTATACACAAACGTTAAAATAGGAAAACGGAAAACACTGACAGCCCGAGAGGGTTGGTCTGCAAAGAGTTCATTTTTAGCAGAGCATAATTGGGTATGGTCGGCATACAGTTACAAAAGCTGCTGTTAACCATCCAGTAGTGGATCCCAAACATGCTAATGGTGGATTAATTGAGGAAGATCTGACGTGCAAGCTTCATAGTCTCTTATTCATGACTTCCCAATGGGAAAGGACCAATGCCTTGTGGGACTATGGTAACATACAGTCAAAAAGCTGCTAAGAAAATGGCTGTGTGTTCACAGCACCTCTCTCTGATAACAAACATATGTCGACTAAAACGGTTTAGTAGAATGGGAGGGGGGGTGTTAGAGAATAAAATTTTCTTTCTCGGTATAAGCAATTCCCATCTTCTTTCTTTAAAGAAAAGCAAAAATAGATACCATATCTTTACCATAGTGGAGGGAAAAGGATGGTTTAAAAGGTTTTTATCAAGATTAAACTCTACTATATAAAAGAAACGGAACATTCCTGTGCAGCAATTCTTAAAAAAAAAAAATCTATTATCATTTTTTTCCTTACTGTGATCAAACTAGATCCATAGCATGTGCAGTTTATAGAAACTCAGCCCAGTTAATCCCACCAGGATTGACTCAAGGCTGTTTAATGCCAGGTACCCTTTTGACTTCTTGAAATCAGGATGCCTCTTGGGCAAGACATTTTGCATTATTGAAAACTGACATAATGAATGTTAAGTGTGATTGCAGTGAGGAGAGTTTTCTTTTTTAATTCTACAATCATTCTCTCCAGCCAAACCCCTTTTTTGGTCTGTTTCCAGTCTCCCGATCAGCTGATGGGGGAGGTATAAGGATTGGGGAAGGAGTGGAGATATGGGACAGGGGAGGGAGATTGTAGGTTATCAATAGCCAATAAATTCAAGTCTATCTGTAATGAAAATTATGGAAATAAAAAAGATCACTTATTAGTTGTCCATCATGATATTTAAATATAAACCAATTTTCAAAATTGTTGTTTTATATGTGGACAGAAAATATACTGCAAGCAATAGTGTGATGTCACCCACCCTGTTGTAATTTTAAGACTAAAAAAAGAGTATATTGAGTTTATTATCTACATGTGACATTCTTTCATTGTATATATATATCTAAATATTCCATATTTCCTCTAATTTTGTCACCTATCTGAACATTGAAAACTGTGTTCATTTTGATTTTGCTCCCTTTTTTTGAGAACATAAATTATGTATTTCATAGTAAACAATTAGTGTTTAGGATAATTCTTGAGATAGCTGAATTTGGCTAGTGAAACTTCAATAATCTCTTTAAGAAAAAACCCCCAGGAGTTATGAATTAGATTAGTTTAAAAATATAGCTGGAAGACAAATCAAACAATTTACCTGATCTTTTGTTTCAATATACATTAATTAAGCACTCTTTCCAACCTACACAACATTCCAGGGTCATAGTCAGAAATCCAAGACTAATAGCTCAGCCTCCTTTGTTGTCATTCGTGTCAAGCTATTGCCCCCTGCAGGTTAGGCTGAAAGTGCAGGCAGGATTTGGCCAAGTCCTCTGGAAATTTATGGTAGTCATGTTTATCCTCTCCCAATATTTAAGTAGGGTCAACTTTTTTTAAACTTTAAGTTGTTTGCATTATGAACTATTGATTTAGAAACATCTGGTAAGTTTACAAAAAAATAAGATTTAAAGATAGGCAATTTTAGTTTTCCTTCTGAGACTTTTGCTGAGTGGAACAAACCTGTGGATACTTTGTCACATAGATAATACCTTGATGCACTTAATATAGTTTCTTCATCTTCTCTGATCCTTTTTGCACAAGATCCAGGACAATTAAAGAATGGATATAACAGAACTGGAATTTTGATTTCTT